TCTGACCGTAAGACATCTTCTTTCACGTCCATTCTTATACTACTTATATCGTTCGTATAAGTAGCACACACCACACTCGTCCCCCCTTTAACAAGTCGCTCTCTCAGCCTTTCTGATCTCCGTACAGCCGTCTTCTTTATCAGTGTTTGTGGCTCGCCCTCTTGGCGCACTTGGAACCACCTTTGGAGTTCACTGGCATTCACGCGTTTCTGTTTGTTTCCTTTCTGGATTGTATACACTGCGCCGCGCCTCTCGGTTACTACGTACGGTCCCTCCCACTTCGGGATCAGCTTACCTGACCCTGGCCCTCTTCCTGTGGTACATTTCCGTTCTCTACACTTCACTTGGTCTCCCACTTCAAACGGTCTCCAGTTCTTTCTCTCCTGTTCTGACTTCTGCATGTCTGATGTTTGTTTCTCTCTCACATTCCTGATTGCTTGTCTCCGCTCTGTTCTCAATCTTGTTGTATTCCATCTCTGTTGTTGCGGCCAGGTTTTATCATGCGTTGGTAGTCTCGGCCGTCTGCCATACATCAGCTGGAACGGTGACTTCCTGGTTGTTCCCTGTGCCGAGGCACGATGTGCCAGCAAGATTAATGGTAATTCTTTCTCCCAGTCACCCCCTTTAGATGCTAGCCATTCCTTTAGCGTTCGGTTATTCCTTTCCGTTAACCCATTCGTCTGTGGATGATACGGCGTTGTTCGTACTTTCTTTATACCTAACTGCTTTAGACGGGACTTGAACTCATCACTCTCGAAACAGGGACCTTGATCGGTTAATATTATCTTTGGTATCCCATGGTCCGCCACAATGTGCCGCATTACCGCTTCCGTCACCGTTCTTGCACGTTGGTCCGCCATCGGCACGGCATTTACCCATCGTGTGGCATGCTCAGTCATCACCAGCAGGTACTGGTTACCACTTGTCGTCTGTGGGAACGGTCCCATAATATCTACTGACCACAAATCACCAACTGCTGTTACTGGAATTGACTGCAATGGCGGTCGTATGCATCGATCCCCTTTCATTAGTTGACATCGCTGGCACGCTAATACATATCGTGCAACATCGTCTTTCATACCTGGCCAGTACGCACTTTGTCGCAGCAAATCAGTTGTCCGTGCAATACCTGTGTGCGCTACCTGGTGACATTCACGAATCATCTCCTGGCGCAGATCTTTTGGGATTATTGCTACCCAATTCTCGTCATCATCCCGCCAGGTCAAGGCTCCGTATCCGTTCACTCTCAGTCTCTCCTTCTGCCTCAGCAACATTGTTAATTCTTTATCTGTTCCACTCTTGTCAACATCTTCTCCCTCTTTTATCACTCTGATTACCTCCCGAAGGTTAGGGTCGGCTTTCTGATGTCGGACGAGTTCTAGGGGGTCTCCCTCTAGGCCGTTAACTGCACACGCTATCTCTGGAAGTTCGGCTTCGGTGTCCGGTCTTGACAAATAATCTGCCATTACATTTTCCTCCCCTGGCACATGCCCGATGCTGAAATCATACTCCTGCAGACGTAGCATCCATCGAGCCAACTTCCCCCGAGGGTCTTTTGCTGTTTTCAACCATTGTAGGGGCTTATGATCCGTCTCGATGTGAAATCGTCTACCTAAAAGGTACGGTCTCCATTTGTCTACCGCCCATACAATCGCTAAACACTCTTTTTCTACTGTGGAATACTTCTGTTCTGTCGGCGTAAGGACACGGCTGGCATACTCCACCACTCTGTCAGACTGCCTCAAGACCGCACCTATACCGTGATCGCTCGCATCAGTGGTCACTGTAAATGGCTTCTCGGGTTCCGGTAGTCTCAGCGTCATTTGGCGGTCATCTAACAGCTCTTTGATTCGGTCGAAAGTTTGTTGAGCGGTCTCTGTCCACGTAAACTTCGCATTGCTTAGCACTTTATATAGAGGTGCTGCTATATCGTTGAAGTTCTTCACGAATCTGCTGTAGAACGCCGCTCTTTGTCTATTAACGAAACTGCCGCCCCTGTATCAATCAGGCAAACTACCTCTCGCTCGTTTATCCCTACTCTCGCATAGACCGCCCCCTTATCTACTAATGCCGAGACCCCCAGTTTCGAAAGACATAAAGAACAACTTGTGTATGGTCTAAAATATTTACGTCTTCGTCTTGTTGGGCAATTCCTCTTCCAATGTCCGGTTCCTCCGCAAATGTAGCATTTATTATTTCTTTCACCCTTTATTCGTAAAGCTGCCACCTCTCGTTGTAATTCTTCTATCTTCTTCACGACATCATCAGCCTGTCTCTCACACGCCACCGAGGCGACTGTTGAGTTCATCAGTTGTCTTGTTACTTTCGCCAGCTCGGTGACGTCCATTGGTTGTGCCGCGTTCACCAGTCTCAACTGTTGGCCAATCTCTGCAGGCACACTTTCAATGAATTGCGAGGCTAGCAGCTGTGCCTGCGACTCCTCATCCAAATTCGGCAGACCCCGGCGCAGCAATCTTGTCAGCTCCACGGCCAGCACGAGTGGGTCGCCGTCCACCGACAGCCGCGCCTCCCGGAACTTCTGCAGCGCGTCCTGCCTATCCGCCGGGCTGTCGAACTCCAACAGCAGCCTTTCCGTCACCGCCTTCCAGTCAGCATCCTCCACACTATCGTACACCGCTCTCGCCCTGCCTCTTAGTAGAGTCCCCAGCACCACCGCCTTCGCCTTCCGTTCCTTGACTCCGACCAGCTCCGCCACAGCCTCGAACTCCTTCAAGAAGCTCCTCACATCTCCGTCTTCAAACTCCCGAGGCCATGGTATCTTCATCCTGTGTGGAGGCAGCGACACCAATTGAGAAGACTGAGGGAGGCTCAATAGATTGTATTTGGCAAATTTACACTCTTAGTCAATTAAAAACGATAACATTACATTGAATACTCCATTTGCACACCATCTTTGAGTCCTGACTTCCAACGCTCCAGCCTTCCTCCATTCCTGCTGTTGCTTCCTTTACTTCCTGTCGGTGCCCTAAATCTTTCTTGCTTTTGCTCTATTTGCTTTCCGTTTTCCTCTTCTGACCGTAAGACATCTTCTTTCACGTCCATTCTTATACTACTTATATCGTTCGTATAAGTAGCACACACCACACTCGTCCCCCCTTTAACAAGTCGCTCTCTCAGCCTTTCTGATCTCCGTACAGCCGTCTTCTTTATCAGTGTTTGTGGCTCACCCTCTTGGCGCACTTGGAACCACCTTTGGAGTTCACTGGCATTCACGCGTTTCTGTTTGTTTCCTTTCTGGATTGTATACACTGCGCCGCGCCTCTCGGTTACTACGTACGGTCCCTCCCACTTCGGGATCAGCTTACCTGACCCTGGCCCTCTTCCTGTGGTATATTTCCGTTCTCTACACTTCACTTGGTCTCCCACTTCAAACGGTCTCCAGTTCTTTCTCTCCTGTTCTGACTTCTGCATGTCTGATGTTTGTTTCTCTCTCACATTCCTGATTGCTTGTCTCCGCTCTGTTCTCAATCTTGTTGTATTCCATCTCTGTTGTTGCGGCCAGGTTTTATCATGCGTTGGTAGTCTCGGCCGTCTGCCATACATCAGCTGGAACGGTGACTTCCTGGTTGTTCCCTGTGCCGAGGCACGATGTGCCAGCAAGATTAATGGTAATTCTTTCTCCCAGTCACCCCCTTTAGATGCTAGCCATTCCTTTAGCGTTCGGTTATTCCTTTCCGTTAACCCATTCGTCTGTGGATGATACGGCGTTGTTCGTACTCTCTTTATACCTAACTGCTTTAGACGGGACTTGAACTCATCACTCTCGAAACAGGGACCTTGATCGGTTAATATTATCTTTGGTATCCCATGGTCCGCCACAATGTGCCGCATTACCGCTTCCGTCACCGTTCTTGCACGTTGGTCCGCCATCGGCACGGCATTTACCCATCGTGTGGCATGCTCAGTCATCACCAGCAGGTACTGGTTACCACTTGTCGTCTGTGGGAACGGTCCCATAATATCTACTGACCACAAATCACCAACTGCTGTTACTGGAATTGACTGCAATGGCGGTCGTATGCATCGATCCCCTTTCATTAGTTGACATCGCTGGCACGCTAATACATATCGTGCAACATCGTCTTTCATACCTGGCCAGTACGCACTTTGTCGCAGCAAATCAGTTGTCCGTGCAATACCTGTGTGCGCTACCTGATGACATTCACGAATCATCTCCTGGCGCAGATCTTTTGGGATTATTGCTACCCAATTCTCGTCATCATCCCGCCAGGTCAAGGCTCCGTATCCGTTCACTCTCAGTCTCTCCTTCTGCCTCAGCAACATTGTTAATTCTTTATCTGTTCCACTCTTGTCAACATCTTCTCCCTCTTTTATCACTCTGATTACCTCCCGAAGGTTAGGGTCGGCTTTCTGATGTCGGACGAGTTCTAGGGGGTCTCCCTCTAGGCCGTTAACTGCACACGCTATCTCTGGAAGTTCGGCTTCGGTGTCCGGTCTTGACAAATAATCTGCCATTACATTTTCCTCCCCTGGCACATGCCCGATGCTGAAATCATACTCCTGCAGACGTAGCATCCATCGAGCCAACTTCCCCCGAGGGTCTTTTGCTGTTTTCAACCATTGTAGGGGCTTATGATCCGTCTCGATGTGAAATCGTCTACCTAAAAGGTACGGTCTCCATTTGTCTACCGCCCATACAATCGCTAAACACTCTTTTTCTACTGTGGAATACTTCTGTTCTGTCGGCGTAAGGACACGGCTGGCATACTCCACCACTCTGTCAGACTGCCTCAAGACCGCACCTATACCGTGATCGCTCGCATCAGTGGTCACTGTAAATGGCTTCTCGGGTTCCGGTAGTCTCAGCGTCATTTGGCGGTCATCTAACAGCTCTTTGATTCGGTCGAAAGTTTGTTGAGCGGTCTCTGTCCACGTAAACTTCGCATTGCTTAGCACTTTATATAGAGGTGCTGCTATATCGTTGAAGTTCTTCACGAATCTGCTGTAGAACGCCGCTCTTTGTCTATTAACGAAACTGCCGCCCCTGTATCAATCAGGCAAACTACCTCTCGCTCGTTTATCCCTACTCTCGCATAGACCGCCCCCTTATCTACTAATGCCGAGACCCCCAGTTTCGAAAGACATAAAGAACAACTTGTGTATGGTCTAAAATATTTACGTCTTCGTCTTGTTGGGCAATTCCTCTTCCAATGTCCGGTTCCTCCGCAAATGTAGCATTTATTATTTCTTTCACCCTTTATTCGTAAAGCTGCCACCTCTCGTTGTAATTCTTCTATCTTCTTCACGACATCATCAGCCTGTCTCTCACACGCCACCGAGGCGACTGTTGAGTTCATCAGTTGTCTTGTTACTTTCGCCAGCTCGGTGACGTCCATTGGTTGTGCCGCGTTCACCAGTCTCAACTGTTGGCCAATCTCTGCAGGCACACTTTCAATGAATTGCGAGGCTAGCAGCTGTGCCTGCGACTCCTCGTCCAGATTCGGCAGACCCCGGCGCAGCAATCTTGTCAGCTCCACGGCCAGCACGAGTGGGTCGCCGTCCACCGACAGCCGCGCCTCCCGGAACTTCTGCAGCGCGTCCTGCCTATCCGCCGGGCTGTCGAACTCCAACAGCAGCCCTTCCGTCACCGCCTTCCAGTCAGCATCCTCCACACTATCGTACACCGCTCTCGCCCTGCCTCTTAGTAGAGTCCCCAGCACCACCGCCTTCGCCTTCCGTTCCTTGACTCCGACCAGCTCCGCCACAGCCTCGAACTCCTTCAAGAAGCTCCTCACATCTCCGTCTTCAAACTCCCGAGGCCATGGTATCTTCATCCTGTGTGGAGGCAGCGACACCAATTGAGAAGACTGAGGGAGGCTCAATAGATTGTATTTGGCAAATTTACACTCTTAGTCAATTAAAAACGATAACATTACATTGAATACTCCATTTGCACACCATCTTTGAGTCCTGACTTCCAACGCTCCAGCCTTCCTCCATTCCTGCTGTTGCTTCCTTTACTTCCTGTCGGTGCCCTAAATCTTTCTTGCTTTTGCTCTATTTGCTTTCCGTTTTCCTCTTCTGACCGTAAGACATCTTCTTTCACGTCCATTCTTATACTACTTATATCGTTCGTATAAGTAGCACACACCACACAGGGATCACGGTTTACCAACTTCCCGTAGGACAATCCACCAGGGCACCTACCAACCCATTTGGTGCTTTGGATACTCATTGTTTGTCCTTTAAACTTCGTAAACAGCACCCCTGCCACCAGAAGACCGTTAGTGGAAGTTTCCTTACACTAGATATACGTGCGTGGTCATACTAGAGTATTTGAGGGCAATGACACGTTCAAAAGTATATCACGAGAAAGCTTTGAGTGGTGGTGGTGGTGTTTGGTTCTCTGAGCTGGGAAGCATTCGAATGCTTCACTTCTATCTGAAGTATGTGCTGATGATGTTGTTCAGAAGAACAATCAAAGCTCCGCGACCAAAACACCCAGCTCAGAGAACCAAACACCACCACCACAATCATCCACCTGATCTACAAATCTTCTCCTCCATCTCGAAAGCTTTGAGTGTTTAAATCATACATGACATCATTTCATGAAATTATTAATAGTTTTTCTAAGCTTTCTTGTTTACTGCTGACTTACGTAATTAAGATTCTCTCAATAAATGCATAATAAATATGTTAGACACTTTATCAGTAATCTTGTTCACAATTAAGCCAAAGTAACTCACAGACATTCACTTAGTTTTAACTCAATGTGTTCACCAATCCGATTTAAAAAGTTAAAAACGGATACTGAGAAAACTCATAAAGTAAATTGAATGACATCAGAAATAATTGCTCTCAGATAGATCTTAACTGAAACATAGCTATCTCCTGACACTGCAGATGTCAAAGTCAGCTTACAAGGCATGATACACTTCCAGTGCGATAAATAGGCACAAAACAGGAGGTGAAATCACGATATACATTGATAAACATAACACCACACCAGTACCCAAATAACCGATGCGACAGAATCATACCGGAACTGCTTCAACACGAACGGCACAAAATATTTGATTGAAGGCATTTTACAGGACTCCTCATCTACTGAAGCCCAGAAAGATAAGTTGATTGAGTTGATATTGGAACTACTACTAATTCTCCTGGAGTTCGATCAAACACTCCTAGCTGGAGATTTCAACATTCTATCCCTAAATACCAACTTGTTTTATTCATGTTTATCACGAAGTCTTACATTGTTACTCTATACCACCTGTTGAAATCATGAATCGATCAATGTTAGACCACTATTAAAAGCCTGGAAGCACTGAAAGACAGCTGTTTCGTCCCAGTATGGGATTCATCAGTCACTCAGATGCAACGTAGCTACTTTTAGTCTGATCGTTCTGCAATCGACCTTCCTGGCATGGTAGAACCTTCAGGAACATATGTTCCAGCCAATATAGCTTGGTTGGGTCATCACGATAGTCAAGCCCGACCACCACGTCAAGGTAGCAGCTACGGTCGGGAGGATGCATCAGTGGCAGTGCGCATCCATCACTCTCGCTACCCCCGAGGACCTTCGGTCTTACGTGCATACACCTAACGCCTCTCAACCAACCAACCAACCACTTAACAATCTACACAAACCTTTTATACAAGCAACTATCACTTATTGTGTACTTACTTACTTACTTTAATTTTTTTTATTCTTAACCAACTTCACATGTTCATATCACTTGTTTTTTTGAATAACAATCAGTTTACAATTATTTGTTCATTCCGGTTTTATTATTTTTTTTTAAATTAAAATTCCTATGTTCATCAAAATTCCAAAAATGATCTATTTTATTCTCTATTCTTTTTTTTATCGCTCAATGTTCATTTTTAAAAAATAACACTTTGTTTAAACATGAAGGCACCATGTGTGTGTGTGTGTTTGTGTAACAAAATTATGTAACATTGTTTTAAATGTAATAAATGAAAGAATTAACCAATTACTAAAAAAATTAAATTAATTTATTTATTTTTAAATAAATAACTGAAAGTAATCATGAATGTTAAATGATTTATTTATATAAATTGAAAATTTTTATTCCATAAATATTTGAAAATGTGTGTGTGTGTGCGTTGTAATTTATCGTTTCGGTCTTTTCTCAATTATCGAATTTTAAATTTATGCTAATTTCAGTGATCTGTTCACATTTTTTTTAAAAATGTACTCAAGTTGTGTAGTTGAATACGTGTGTGTGTGTGTGAGAGAGAGAGAGAGAGAGGGTACTACTTCATGATGATCAGAATCTGTTTTATACAGTCAGTCAGTCAGTTGTAACGTAGAACTACGTACATATGTACATAAGTTCATGTTGCCATACCACATTAGCACAGAGATGTAAATGTCAAATCAAATCCCATAGTGATAAAGATAGTAGAGGTATTAATTGGTAATGAAGAAGACTAGGGTTTGAAGATATTATTCAAGAAGTATATTAATTCAGTGAGATAAGGTAGATGTGTTGACAAATCCAGAAGATTAGGATATCAGAGAGCTCACAACGAATGGATGCACTTGCGCCATTGCAAACGATTTTGAGTCATGTCGTTCAAGGTCTCTAACCATTGGTGACTTACGTCTTGCGGACCCCAACCAGGTAGTCTATCTATATCTACCAACATGACTCAGTCCACTTGTCAGTGACTTTATGGACTTGTGCCATGTTTTGGTCTAGCCGCCCCTAGCATTCTTCCAACCTATTCCTACACCAGAATCGCATCCCGAACATGCTCGCATTGTTGCTTATGGTAGTCAGAAGACTCTGCATTTTCTCAGCGTCTTCACCGAATAGAACTATGTCATCGGCATATTCTAGATCAGTAAGCGATTTTCCTGGCAGAAGGTCAATCCTTGAAAAATCTGACGAGCTTAATGTTAACTCTAAGAGGATGTCTACGACAAAGTTAAATAAGAATGGAGAGAGTGGATAGCCCTGACGGACACCACTTGATGTAGAGAATTCCGATGACAGTTGGCCATATGCTCTCACTCGACCAGTGGTGTTCGAGTAGAGAGATTGTATAAGGTTAATTTACTTCTTTGGTACACCTTTCAATGACAGACACTGCCACAGAACCTCACGATCCACTGAGTCAAATGCCGCCTTTTATACAGTTATATTTTATTAGTTAGAAAAGGAGAGAAAGCCAGTAATCAACGCTACTTCTAATAAAATGGCACATCTCATTTCATGTCAGTTATTTCGGTTGATGCCTTTAAATGTTTCCAATGACAAAGTTATAACTTATTACTCACAGAATAGGTTCTTATTATGTGAGCGTTGTCAATTCAGACACCATACCAGGACGAAACGGCCGTCTTTCAGTGCTTCTAGGTTTCTGATGTCGGCCTAACAATGATTGATTGATGATTTCAAGAAATGTGTGGAAACACTAATCTCCATAACTCTAATTGTAAATATCAAATAGTTTTCCCATGATCATGTAGTCATGTCACCAAAGTCAGTCAGTTACAACATTGCCATAACACATTAGCACACAGACATAGTTGTCAATTCAAATCCCATAGT